GGCGGGCGGCGCGCGGCGCCCTCGAGTCGAGTCCCCGCGCCAGGCCCGGGGCGGGGCGGTCTCCGGGCGGGAACGCGGGCCCGGGGCCCAGGCGCGGGGCGCGCGGAAACCCCTGCGGCAGGCGCGGGGGAGGGGGCCCAGGGATGGAGGGACAGCGGCTCGGCAGCTTTCTTTTCGCTCCTTTCTTAAGCCGAAAGGTACAAGGTTTCCCTTTTCCAAGATTTCTTCATTTCTAGTTATATTTCGATCGCCCCTTTTTTGGCATCTCGAGACGACTCCCAAGGGAGACGGAGCTAGTGAAAAAGGTTGAATTGGGGCCGAGCCAAGACGGCCAAAGTCCGGTCTCTAGTGGGGTGACCCGCCCGGACACTCGGTTTGTCAAACGTGGGTTCTCTCTCTCCGACCGCCAACTAGGGTCGGATTTCGGAGACTGGGTGAATGGGGTAGCAAATCAATATTTTTTATTTAAAGGACTACTGAAAATCCTAGGGGCCTCATTTCAGGCTCAAAGTGACCCCGAATTTAGATTGACCATCACATAAATGACGAAATAGTGTATCCACATTTTGCATTTGTTACTTAGTGTAGCTTTAGAGTATCATCATAAGGATTGGCATATTTAGCATTGATTATTTTCAGTAATACGCAACATTGAAAACACATTTATTTCATGTTTATTGCAGCCATGGCTCTCAAAGGACAAGAAGATTATATTTACCATTTCAAGGATACGACGCATCCAATGGATTTTCTGGATGCATTCAGAACATTTTACTTGGATGGATTATTTACTGATATTACCCTTCAGTGTCCTTCAGGCATAATCTTCCATTGTCACCGAGCTGTTTTAGCTGCTTGCAGCAATTATTTTAAGGCAATGTTCACAGCTGACATGAAAGAAAAATTTAAAAATAAAATAAAAATCTCTGGCATCCACCATGATATTTTGGAAGGCCTTGTGAATTATGCATACACTTCCCAGATTGAAATAACTAAAAGAAACGTTCAAAGCCTGCTTGAAGCAGCCGATCTGCTACAGTTCCTTTCAGTAAAGAAAGCTTGTGAGCAGTTTTTGGTAAGGCACTTGGATATTGATAATTGTATTGGAATGCACTCCTTTG